TTGTTCAGATTGTATCTCAGACCATTTAAAACAGAAGTTTATAGAGGTCTCAGTCGCCCCCATATCCTCAACCTTTGTTTTAAAAGAAAAATGCATAGTCATTAATTTCATATTACATTAGAAAAAGACAGAGACAGAGACAGACAGATAGACAAGGAGGGGTGGAGAGAGAAGTAATTCCAAGAAGAGATTGGAAGTAAATAAACCGGTGTGACAGACAATGGAGATGAAAGATTGAGAGAGACACAGAGGGAGAGAGAGAGAGAGAGAGAGAGAGAGAGAGAGAGAGAGAGAGAGAGAGAAGCAGTCACTTGTTCATGCATTTATTCACTTGCTCAACAAATACTTACTAGTCAGATATGTACAGGTAGTCCAGGGTTTGGTATGAAGGCCCAGAGGTGACCAGAATAGAGAGGCTTTTACTCAGAACTTCTATTCATTGAGAGGAAACAGAAATGAGTGAGTCAATAAAATTGCTGTAAAAGAATAGTTTACAATGTACTTTAAAGGAAATGAAAAAAGACTGGGAAGTTAACTAGAACAAGGGTAGGTCCCGCCTTCCACGGGACAGCCTGTAAAGGCCTGGCACTCCACTACCGCACTAAGAACCAGCAGTACGTTCTAGAGAAAAGACGCTCAAGGACAAAAAGGAAGATGGACTTGAGAAATGGAAGCCATCCAAGAGCGAGCTACACCGTGTGATCATTTCTCCACGGCTGAGACGCACTACCTGAGAGGAGCATCATAAAGAAGTCTATTTTTGGCCCACAGTGTCAGAAGACTCAGGTTGTCATCACTTGGCCCTGTTGCCCATCCTGTGGCAGCACATGTGGTGGAGGAGGTGGTAGACTGCACGTGATGCCAAGTAGCAGCAGGGCAGGAAGGGCCAGGAGCTTTCCTCCACAGGCTCCTCCTCCTAAAGCTTCCAACAGATCTCAGTAATACCACAGGCTGGAGGCCAAGCCTGCAGCACACTGGCCCTCCAAGGGTCTTTAAGACCCAAACTATATCAGCCCTCTATTTTAACCTTTGGAAAATTTATTTCCTTAAAATACATTATTACTGATACTACTCGTAATAGTTGCTCTTACTAGGAATCTCCATGTTCCAGTCTCTGTCGGAAGGTAACGGACGTATCTTTCTTTCGTTTCTTTCAGCTTTCAAGACTCCCATCAAAGCCTCACAATGCAAGCATCACTGCTCAAATCCAACACACCGATAACCACCCTCAGGGATGCCAAACACCCTGTTCCAAGCTCCCTAGCAGGGGCTGAAGGCAATACAGGGATACACACTCAGGTCACCTATGCACAAAGGCTTCAGATTTCATGTCTTTTTAACTTGCATAGTTCACTCATTTCTTTTAATTTGTATGTTTTGTTCAATAAATATTTGTTGAACCCGTTGCCAACAGAAATGAATGAAATGCAGAGTGATGGACTGGGTTTCCAAGACAGGCTTGTGGTGCCTTTGAGCTCCTTATGATCTCCTACAGTGCTGCCTTGCCACGCCTCTGTGAAGAGCCAGAGTCTTTCCCCTTCGGGTGGCCTTATGACTTATTTTGAACAAATAGAACATGATGCACTCTGTCTAAATGCATAGCCTCAGAATTTTGAGCAAATACAATGCCTGTCACAAAATACTAGGCCTCCAGTGATTCAGCATGAGGAAGCTGATGATCAGAAATGTATCAGAAACCCAAACGGTGAGACAGACACACATATAAATATCTTGAAAATAATGGTTAGCATATTCACTGTAGGCAGAAAAGGGATGAACCTAAATTTCTATCCACAAATGAATGGATAAAGAAAGCACTGTGTATATGAACAATGGAAAAATATTTCACCCTAACAAGGAAGGAAATTTGATCATTTGTAATAGTCTCAATGAAGGATACTAAACCTCGGAAATGAGAAAAAATCCTAGGCTCTCTCACTTAGGAGATGGAATTTGAAACAGCTAAAATCATAGAAGCAAAGCATATAACAGTGGTTACCCTAGGCAGTGGGCTAATGAGGGGAGATGTAGAGCAAACGATGCAAAATTACAACTAGAAGAATGTGTTCAAGAGATCTCCGCAACATGGTGACTATCATTTATAGTAATACAATGGATATTTGAAACCTGCTAAAAATGTAGATTTTAAGAGTTCTTACCACAAAACTAAAATAAGTATGTGAGGTAGTGCATACATTAAATAGCTTGATTTAGCTCCTTTACAATGTATACATATGTCAAAACAACATGATATATGATATATATATGTAATTTTTATTTAACAATATCAAAATAATTTGTGTACCAACCCCATAAAAGAGATGTAAACATTCTATACTGCAAAAGTGTCCCAAAAAGGAGGGGTCAAGAAATAGACGTGGGGAGAAAGGCTGGGACAGGAGATGAAGCAAAGGAATTAAGAATTAAGATATATTATGCATGAGTACCGATTTGCTACAAGGAATGTAAACATTGTGTGCTACAAACATGTACTAATAAAAAAAATGCTAAGAAGAATAAAAATGAGAACACTGTGTGATTGTCAGAAGAGAAGGACAGAGAAGTTGCTACCGTGGTATGCAGCAGAGGTAAGTAAATGTTTCTGGTAAAGAGCCAAGTAGCTAATATTTTAGGCTACGAGAACTATATCACTTTTGTCCCCCAAATCAAATTCTGCCATTGTAGCGGAAAACAGCCAGTGAAGTAAGTAACCAAATGGGCATGCCTGAGCTCCAATAAAATTTTATTAAGTAAAAGAGAGGAGCTGTTGCAGCCACTTCCTGGTCCAGATGCAGAGCTCATGGGAAGCTGGGTGAAGAAGTGATGTCCAGCCATTTTGTATCAAAGGTGTGATTTGGAGCTGAAGCCCTGAGGTCACTGGAAATCCTTCAAGCTTTCAACTCGATGTGTAAAATAGGAAAGGCACCATGACACTGCTTACTATGAATTCCTGAAGGCCATTTCTGAAGGGCAGCAGAGAGCTGAGTCAAAGGAGAGAGCCTGAAAAACTGGAATATCACAGGAACTTGGACTATATAGGAGTTTTCCTTCACTCCTGCTGGATCTCAGATAGGTATCAAGAATTTAGCTTGGGGCATGGAGGGAGGCCCAGCCCTGTCTTCTGTACAATGTAGAAAGCATCAGACTCCTCTTTTCTGGCAGTTATTGAATTAAATCTAGTGTGTGCACATCACCCTCCCTTAGAGACGGTTATAAACAAAGCAGTTCTGAAGAACAGGGAGCATATCACTTTATTGTTTTGTTTTTATTCTTTTTTATCAATTAGTGTTTTTCATTCTGGAAGATTTGTACATGCCCATTACATACTATGATCATTTTTATCCTGACACTCCTCTAGCCCTGCCCTCCCCCAGTGTCACATTTGGGGGTGCAATGTACATAATACATTTTGCTCATGTCCATCACCAGTTGTCCATGCTTAGTGTCATATATGTAGAGACATTTTTTCCCTAGAAGAATCATTCTTGTTACCTGAGCTCTTTGCCTTCTGTCTTAGTTACTTTTCTCATTGCTGAGGGAAAATGCTCAATGCCCAACATTAAGGAAGAACAGGTTCATTTAGCTCACCATTGACAGAGGCTTCAGTCCAAAATCAGCTGGCTGCAAGGCAGCCAGGGCGTGTCAGGGGCAACTGTTCAGGGAGGCAGAAGACAGCAACAGTAACAAGAGCAAAATGGGGAGGAGAAACTCTTTCTCCACCCATATGTTGCATGCAGTGACACTTCTAGGGTGGGTGTAGTGCTCACATAACCCCAGCACTAGACCATGAACCAATCACAATGTTTAGATTCAGCCACCTCCAAAGAACTCACCCCCATGACTGCATGAGGCTTTGGGGGGACATCTAGACACAAACCATAACAGCTCCTCTTCATGTCTGGTGCTTCTAGGCATAGTCCAGCCTCTCTTTATCTGGAAAATGGTTCACCCTTTAGTCTGAAGTCCACACTCCAGCTATTTCCAGAACACCTGAGTTCGTTGGCCTTTAAATTTAGATGAAGACTTCTAGGAGTTGTAAAGAATGGAATGGAGTAAACAACACCTGAACTATTATCACACCCTCCAGCACTGGCTACAAGATGAAGGAGCAAGACCAAACATTAAGAACCACATCACCAGTCTGATCATCTTCTGGATGAGAAAACCACTCAAGGAGCAAATGTGGAAGAGTGGCTGGAGCGGATGGCCCTGACCAGCCACTCCACACCTTCTCCTTCCCAATGTTGCTCCCATGGTCACATTGTCATTTTGGATCCTTGGTGAAGACACCATCGCCAAGCCCCGTGCGCACTACCTCTGAGATTCTTGCACCCCACCCTTTATTCCTTTCTTCATGCTTCGAATAGGTGTGTTTGCCTAATTGATAAATCAGTGCACAGACCACTGGGAAGGACGAGAGTTAGGATGGCCTACTTAGGTCTTAAGGGAGCTCAGGTTTCTAGCATGGATCCAACCCACTAATATTTTTTTTTCTTTTTTTTTTTTTGTGGTACCAGGTATTGAACTCAGGACTCTATACTTGCTAGGCAAGCGCTTATTCTACTGGGCTATCTCCTCAGCTCCCCACTGATATTTCTACTTCCATCTCTGGACACTGCCCACATGATTTTTTCACCTTTTTCCACTGCAGTCACCCTAACATCTGGCTCAAACTTTCGCAGGGAAGTTTTCTCCATCCTGTAATAAATGTGGCCATAATTTTCTCTACATGTGAGTGTGACACATCATGCAATTACAAAATATTATCACAACACATTGATGTTTTTGCACATTTGCCTCTGTCTTCAGACTACAAACACTTCCTACTCAGGGTTCATATTCTGTAGTCTACCATAGGAATATGGTCACCTTTTTGAAAGGAAAAATAAATAATAAGAGGAGTTAGTCAATAATAATAATAATAAAATGTAATGCATAAAAAATGGGTTCAATGAATTTAAGTGAAAAATGTAAAGACAAAATATAGTCACTAACCAAACTGAAAATTGGTGTTTCTCCAGTTCTTCCAAGTAAGACATATCTTGAAAATAATCTTCAAGTTCTCCAGGTCTTAAAGAAGTTGATTTTTCCTTCACAGAATTGTTAGTCACGTTGTCTCCCTGGTTAGAGAGATTAATAAATGAAAACATGAAGTATTTAATTAATAGCAGATGCAAATTTCACTTGGAACCTTGAACATTTTCCTTAGGCTGACATAAAATCAGTGACCATAAAGAACTAGGTAGCTCTTACATTGAAATCATTGTTATAATTTCCAGATTCTCCCAGTGAATTTCTGGATTTCCACAGTGGCAGACGCCTTTGCCAGCTGAGCTCTTTGGCTTAGCATCTTGTCTGATGCTTCTTAGTCATAGACCGGCTTCCTAATTTTTGTTTTCAGTTTTTATTTTATCAGTGTGTGTTTGTAGTCTATATTCATGGTGGGGAGTAGGTACAGGTATATAACCTTCTTTCTGCTTTTAATTTTGCCCCTTCCCAACTACCTCTCTCCCTCTGCCTCTAAATTCCCTTTCACATTCTTGTCACCCTTATTGCTGTCCACTAATGTTTATGACATACATCATTTACATTCATTGTGGGTATTCAGTGCCTGCACCTGGCATATCTTAATTCACTGTTTAGCCTGAAGTCCACATTACAGCTATCGATGGAAGTGTTTAGACCTCTGTTTAGCTGAGGGCCAGGAGGAGTTGTAAAGAATAGAACTGGGTAAATGATATTTGTATTGATCTTTATTTCATATCACATGGAATGGCTTCTATAAATGATATTACAATTAAAAACCAACATGATCATGACATTTGCATTTCGTCATGACTTTGAGTTACAGGAAAGGAGATACAGCTTGAGCTAGGTCTCTGCAAAACAGAGTAAGAAGGAAGATTTGAATAACCAGTGTAGAAAGAAGGAGAACAGGCAGCTGGGTTTCAGGAACTAAGAACTAAGAATTTGAACACCTGCCCAGAACTCTGTTCCCCTGTTCTCTGTTCTGGCAGGTTCCTGCACCCTGCTATTGTCATCAGGAGCTCCTGAGTCATGGCTTGTGACTCAACAACAACATAAATTTAAATGTCGGACTTCTGTAATGTCTGGGGCACTAGTTTACTGGAACTGGGGAGATTTGTGTGGCCTGTGATGAGGGGTCTGGAAGACATGCTGAGCTTAGTGGTTTAGCCAAGGATTCTTGGGGGCCTGTTCAACGAAGGAAGAAAGAGGAAACAACTAAACTAATAGGACTCTTCCTCTGTCTTCCATCAATGCAGATCAGCTATTACCTGTTTGATCCATGGGAGATTTCTGGAAGACTTTAAAAAAAATGCTAGTGATAAAAAGTAATTCGAAAAGCATCTGTCTAGAAAAGTAGACAATTGGGTATCACCTGCATGTATAAGACATAAGTGGAAAAACTCACTCTCTCTTTAAGTGCTTTTAATTATTGTTACCAATTCACTATTAGTAGTAACAAGTTGCCGACTTGAATGCCTGGCTCTCTGTTCTTACAAGTTTTAGCACAACTTGGTCTTTGTAACACTTTGCAATTGCAAAACGTTCTTTGGGTTGGCAAGCTGCAGTAACTAGGAAAACCTGAGAGAGAAACACAGGTGGAGTAGATGTGTCATCAAATCCCTACGAACTCAGCCTGGTTCATTCCTCTCATTATGAGATTGACTGATTTGATTACCTTAAGAACAAAATCCAGTTATGACAGCCATCAATTTAAAGCACCTTTCATTGCGGTCCTTTTCATCTTTCTTAACCTCTATAGCTCTTCTAACACTAAAAGTAGTGTTTGATCTAATTGTACAGGGCTGGTATTTTTAATTAAGTGACCTTAAGAGTGAAAAAATTATTGAGAAAAATAGGAGGTTTGAATTATCTCATGCTTTGCATTCGCTTGAATTATCATTTCATTTCTTTGTAAGTAGCTTGCTTTGTCGAATCTCACAAAAGTGGAAGTGGCTACAAATGATTCCTCCACAGGTTAGATTTACTCATAAAGTTCCTGAACTTATAGTTTGGCTGTTTCATGACAGAGCACATTATGCTGCTTCCTGTTTAGCAACACATGAACACCCTTCCCTTTCAAGTAAAATTCATGGTGGGGGAAAAGATACTGTACATTTGTGTTTGTCTTTCACAGCCCCTAAAAAACATGACAAGAAGCACATGACAGACGCTTAAGAAATAACTATCACCGATCATCTACTTAAGTACTTATAATGAACAGTAGGGGAATTTACAACTTCTAAATCATAAAGAAAACTACTTTGAATTCTAAAATGTATAAAACACTTTTTAACCTCTATATTTCCTCTCAGGAATATCTAAGCTAATACATTAGAAATTCATTCAAATTAGCTTTTCTGAAAAATATAAAATTATGAGAATAAAAAAATCATGGGAATGAGTACATCTCCAAAGAAATGGCCCCCAAAGGAGCAAAAGGACAAAGAAATAAGAATTTTGATTTCGAAATAGAGATAAGTACATACACAAAAATGCCCAGAGGAGTATCAGGCATGAGAGACTGTTCATATGACATTCTAACAATCTAAGGGGCAGCTGAGCACAAATATATATCCTAACTCTATGCCTGATTAGTGATACTTTAACATCAATATTATCAACATTTAAAAGACTGAAAACGGACCCTTTGGTCCATTACAACCATAAGTCTTGTCTGTACCCTACAACCAAAGATCATCACTTTTATAGAGATTCTTTACTTTTCTCTTTGGTATCTGGGATTAAACTCAAGTCCTTGGGTTTGCCAGGCAGGTGCTCAAGTCACTGAGCTATCTCCCCGGCACATTTTCATAGAGATTCTTACAAAGCCAATGTCCTTAGAAAGAGGAACATCTATTCCTGAAGAAGAAATAGCATGCCAATTTGTTCAGGAACATCACATTTCATATATCATGTGTATGTTGCTTATATCTTGACCTACTACAGAAATTGAAGCAAAGATTTTGAAATCAGTCACTAAAATTCAGAATCTGATTGTCAGGTTTGTGGACAAAATGCTTGGTTTGTGAAGATTTCTGTTCAAATATAACTTTTATTAAGGAGCAATGAATGCCCACTCTTCCAAGCACATGAAGAGAGGGGAAAAACATGTTCTGAGAAAGTTTTAAAAACCTAACATGGTGGTGTTATAGTGAAAAGGGCAATCAGAGACTCACTAGGAAACAGATATTCAAATCCTCTCACTACTTAGTGAGCTTAGCTAGGCAAGGGCCCTGATGATAAGGTTTCAAACCTCTATTTAAAAATAGAGGTTGTTTGTCCTACACAGCTCATAGGAATTTAATGAAAATATAGTTGATTCATATATAATTAATATATTTTACATTTTGTATGTATAACATAAATATAGCATATTTACACATTGCAAAACAATATATTATATTCTATGTTCTAGAACGTTGTAAATATTCTGATGCATTCTATGCTCTAATGTGTTAATGATATCTTTATTATAAACTATATCACATGCATGATAATTGTAAGTTGGTACAATACTATAATTTGTGCATGTCTATGGTTCTTCTTGGAGCTTAGGTGAATGGCACTTAAAATGCTTTAAAATACCTAGGGTGTAAGCTGCGCCTGAAAATCCAATATTTGGTACAAGATTTCTGTGTAGGAAACAACCAAGGAACTAGATCTCACAGCTCTCCTGAGCTCAAGGCATATCAGTCTCTCTGGTCATTGTCACACAGTGATAATCAAAGATCAGGGTTCCTGTGTCACTTGCTCTATGGAGGCTTTTGCTCCTCCATCAGAATTCCTTCCAGGGACCCCTGCACTTGGGCAAAAGGGTGGGACAGAGGCTCAGTGACAGGTTAGGTCCTTGTGCAGAGAGAGCCCATGCCCAGTGCGGGAGAGAAACCTTCCACTGCCACAGTTAGACTCCACTTAGCACTTCTCCCACCAGCCCCTGACAGGGTCTTTGTGTAAGTCCCTGGGAAATATGGCTCACCTGCCCATCTGGCCTGACAAAGTGCAAGGGGGTTGGTTTCATCAAAAGAGAAAGCCTTAGAAAGAGGAAGTGGTGAACAAAGGGCTGAATCCTGAGGATTACAAGTGCCTTTGAACTGCTCTGGGAAGGTGGCTGAGGCCATGGGAGCTTTGATGCCTGCTCAAGCAAGGCTCACCAGGCATAGGAGGAAGGTTTGTGGTGGAGACCCTGCTCAAGGGCTTGTGTTGGAAGGATCACACAATCACAAGTCAGAAATAACAACAACAAATACCAGGTGCATCTGAAATTCAAAGCAAATAAATATGACATCATGTTCTCTCCATCACTACTGCTATTCTCATCCAAACAGGCATGGCTCCAGTTTAAATCCAGCCTGAATCCTGAGACCATCTGGCAAGAATACTGCCTCTCTTTTTTAAACTCACATCTGATATGTTTACCAGGCCACTGTTATAGGACAGGTTTTCCCTTAACTATACTCAAGAGAAAACATGATATAGTTTAGGATTTACCTTATATAGCACCCTTTGGGCATCTATTTCTGGAGAACAATTAGCTTCCATGGCGTCTTGAAAGCACCAATTCAGGTAGCCTTCTGATCATGTACATTTGAAAAATGGATGCTTGTCCTTTAGGCTGAACCTCATTTTCCCATAGCCACTTGATGAATTGTCTAGATTAGCATCTTAATACCAACTGAAGAGACAAATTAATTCCCAATACTATTAGATAAGAAAAAAGCAAAAGTCTTAACTTGGAGGATGGAGCATCCAATTAAGCCTGTTTAACATGAAGAAGAGGGAGAATCTATGGCTAGAAAGGGCAGCTTCTGTCTGTGCCTACAACACCCACTTTCTTATACCTTGAGTGTTTCTGATTCTGTCTTTCCATAGCACTGACCTTGCTTAGAATATGCCCAACCTGCTGTCCTGATTCAGAATTAAGGCACCTTCCCAACAGTCCTGATTTCCCAAGCAACTGAGTTATAATTATGGGCTATAAGATCAAACATAAATTATTGAAAAGCAGTTCCTTAAATGAACACACAATTTCAGAAAATGTAGAGATTTTAGGTTTGTTCAGTGATTATATTCTTTTCCATGCTATTTTTTAGCCTTTCTTCAAATAACAAATTCTATCAGCAATTACTATGAGAATTTTTCAAATCATTTTAAAGACTAACAGTAGGCCCATAATGTCCTAGAAGTGTCACAAAAATGTCTTTCTCTTGGCTTTCCAAGGAGTATACGTAATGGTACTTACTATTTACTATGTACTAAAAGAGTGTTTAGTTTTGCTTCAACCATATATTTTGGGTCCCCAGATTGTCACATCATAA